TTTTGCTATAAAACTTTGAATCTCTTCCCCATTAAGTGAGCTTCCAGGCTTAATTACAACATATGCCATTGGGATCTCTCCTTCATCATCAATATATCTACAAGATAACAATAAATATCACATCATGATTTCAATTCCAGTATAAAAAAATGTCAAAATTAAATTTTTTATATTTAATCCTACTTACGGAACAACTGCAGCATCCATAATTTCAGGGTGAGAAACTAGCAGCCCTTCAAGTTCTGCAGGTGCCACCTGTCAAGTGTCAAGAAAGATGAAATAGTTAAAAACCAAAAAAAATAATCGATAAAGTTTTGAACTTTAATGAAATTACCTGATACCCTTTATACTTGATAAGCTCTTTTAATCGATCAACAACATATATTCTTCCTTGTTCATCAAAATAACCAAGATCACCTGTATGCAACCAACCTTGTTTGTCGATGGTTTGCTCTGTGGCTTCTTTGTTATGGAAATATTCTGAAAAATAATACCCATTTATGTTTTCTTGATTCATGGGGTTGAATGTTTATAGAAAAAACATAAATCCCAGAATCAAAAGGATTTACCTTTCATCAAATTTGGTCCATGAACCCATATTTCCCCCAATTGCTTAGGCGGAAGAGGTTTTAGAGTTTCTATATGAATGATTTTTGATTCCATTCCTGGACAAAGTACTCCAGATGAACCTGAATTGAGAAATCCTGCCCTTGTATTCTCGATCGATATAATTCCACCTGTTTCTGTCATTCCATATCCCTACCGAAATACCAAACAGATTTGATATGTGTATTTGAAAGGGATGAAATGGAGATAGTTTTTGGATTTTAGATGACTTACCTGTAAAATCTTTGCGTGAGGAAAAATTTTGGAGCATTCATCCATGGTGTCCTTGCTTAAAGGTGCTGCACCGGTCCCAATCTCCTGCAACGATGAGACGTCGTACCTTCTGACAACTGCTGGCTGTTTCACCAGCGCCACCACAACAGGCGGTGCAGTGTAAAGGTGTGTTACCTTGTACCTCTGTATTGCATCCACAGACTTCTCCAGCTCAAACCTCGCCATCACGACTGTGGCGTTCCCTCTCTGCAACTGTGCATAGGTGAAGGTGATCAATCCCATGATGTGGAATAACGGGACCACGCATAGAAATACGCTTCTCCCTTCCTTGTAGAATTCCTGATCGGATGTCACCATTAACGCCGTCGCAATTATGCTCCGGTGAGTCAACACCACTCCTTTGCTCAATCCGGTTGTACCGGAAGAGTAAAGTATCGCGGCGACATCGGATTGATAAACGGAGGGAGACAGAGAGGCATGGTTACTCGATTTCGCTACTAAATCTGAGAAGTTTCCCAGATCAATTAACGGCAGATTGAAGCCGTTGACCTTGGAGAACAGCTGGTCAACCGTGATAATCAGCTTAGGTTTTGAATCGCTGATTTGGTGGGCAAGTTCTTTAACGGTGTATAGCGGATTAGCGGTGGTGGCGATGGCGCCAAGAGAGGTAACTGCGAGAAAGGCTACAGGGAAGAGGATGGAGTTCGGAGAGAAGATCAGAACGACATCGCCTTTGGAGATACTGTAAGTGTAGTGTAGTGTCTGTGCGAAATCGGAGATTTTTCGTTTGAGCTGGGAGAAAGTGAAGATTTGATGGGAGTTAGGGTCGATTAAGGCAGGGCGATCGGAGTAAACAGAGAGGTTGCGGAAGAGAAAATCGACAATGGAGGTGGTGGGTGATTGTGGAAGGGGGACGGGTGGTCGAGGAGAGGTGTAGATTCCGGTGTTAGGATTGTAGAGAGAGTGGGGGTTTTGATGATCCGCCATTGTTGTTTACTGAGAGAAAGGACGACAAAGAAGGGAATATGACAAACAACTTATACAGTTTTCACAAGACTACAAATTTCAATTTGTCTTGGTTTTTCTTTAATTCAAAGTCGTGAAACAACCAACTAACAAAGTCTTTCTTATTAATTTCAGACTATTTATTTTTTTGGGTTAATTACTAATCTAATCAAATTAAGGGGTAATTAGCAATTTTTAACCAAAAATTAATAAATAGCCAAAAATAGCCCACGAAACCGTAGGTTTCGAGATTCGTCTACTGTTTCGCCATTTCGTCTACTGTTTCGCGTTTTCTATATAAAAAAAACCTACGGTTTCCCAAACCGTAGATAATACTTACGGTTTTCTCTCGAAAACCTACGGTTTCCCAAACCGTAGTCTACGGTTTCTGGGAAAAAGCTACGGTTTTTAATTTTTTTTATCTACTATTTTGGGTGGTTTATCTATTATTTTGTTAAAAAAAACTACGATTTTTTTTAATCTACTATTTTGTCCAAAAAATTATGGTTTTTTTTTTTTTTTTAAATACAGAGTATAAAAAAAAGTGTTTATAATATGTACAATAACTTTAACAACTATTTTGTTTAAATTTTAACAATTATTTGGTTTGAATTTGACTATTTTTTGGGTAAACTTGACTACTTTGTTGTTAATTTGACTACTTTTTAAAAAAAAAAAAAAAATTAACAACTTTTTTGTTAAATTTGACTACTTTTTCGTCAGAGTTGACTACTGTTTTCAACATACCTTATATATATTAAGTATTTTTATATTTTGTGAAATATTTCATGTTTTGTAAAGTTTCTTCACTCTAGCTTTTTTATTCTCAAAATTAAGATAATGAGTTGTAAAGAGTATTTTGTATTGCTCATTACGGATGGAATATGGGAGTTTGTTAATCACCAATTATCATATGTTTGGCCACCGGGATACAATCCGAGAATGTTTTATTTCGGTGTTGAATTTTACGAAACCACCACATACACCGAATTTGTTCATTTGGTGAAGTGCAAGATGGGTCTTCCCGAAGAATCAAAAGTCAGTCTGGCTTATCAACATCCATAACAACTCTATTATTGTGGTATTGTTGATGATCATGATATTAGAAAGCTGATCAAGGTAATAATATATCGATGGAGATAAATCTGTGTATGTCTATGTGGTGGTTGAAGAAGGCGTATCGCGTAACGAAATGGATGATAGAGGAAAGACATCTGCAGCTAATTTATCAAGTGGAAAAGGGAGCAACAACTCAATAGGTAATTTTAAAAGTCCAATTAAAAGTCACTATGATAGTGCCGCTGAAAATGAAAATGTATTGCCAGAACCGATTATGTATGTTACACCGGAGAATTATAAGTATATAGGTGATAATGATGTTGGTACATATGTTAATGATGTTGGTGTAAATCATAATTTTGACCAAAAAAAAACACTAGACGTGGTGGATAAGGTTGGTAATGAATCTAGAAAACAAGAAGTTCCATTTTTGCATGATGGTGAACTAAAAGGCTATGGTGAGTTTGCGGATTGTGACAAGTTGGATATACCCGACCTAGAGAGTGATTCTAACGGAGAAGAATTTGATGATGAACCTAAACTTATTTATTCAGATACCATGTTTCATGGTATACCACCATTGCCTTCGTGTCCTGTAAATGATAATGTGAGCATTCCATGTCAAAGGTTGGATATAAATGAAAAGATTAAGGTTCTAGACAGTTTTGGTGACAAAGAGTTGCTCAAGCTTGCAATTGGAACACAATGCATGGAACAAGGTAAGCAGTATAAGACTATCAGATCGAGTAAAGAAAGGTTCGAGGTGGTTTGTTTGGTAGAAAATTGTTCTTGGATGGTTAGGGCAAGGGGAAGCAAATCTACTACTGCTTTCCAAGTAACAAAAGTTGTTGACCAACAAATGTTGTGCAAAAAACTTGGAGTCTAATCATCGACAATCACAGAAAAATGTACTCTGCCACTTTATCGCTGAAGTATTGGCCGGAGATTATAATAGAGTTTATCGGGGTAATGAAATTGTAAGGGACATCAATTCGAAAGTTCCAATCAATATCTCATACCAACAAGCATGGCGGGCAAAACAATATGCGTTGTAGATGTTAAGAGGTACCAAAGAGGATTCATTCACCAAACTATCAGTGTATCTGCACAACTTGGTCAAGCATAATCCAGGAACTGTTACTCAGATAAGAACAGACGGTGATGATCGATTTGAGTTTATGTATATCACGTTGGGTTGCTCGGTAAGCAGTGATAATTTTTTATAACTAATATAACATATGATTCTCAATTTGTATTTCAACATTTCAGCAAAATTTGGAATATGTGGTATCCATTTGTATTTCAACATTTCAGTAAAATTTGGAAGCAGGGATACAATACATGCATTATTTTGGGAGACATGCAAAGCGTATACTATTAAAAATTTTGATAATGGGATGAAAAAAATTAAAAAGGTAAATGTTCGTGTATGGGAATACCTACAAAACATCAATCCATAAAGATAGGCTAGAGCACATTTTCCTAGGAATCATTATTTTCCTATGACATCAAATAGTGCGGAGTCGATAAATGCAATGTCAAGATTTGCAAGAAAGATGCCAATATTTATGTTGATTGAGTATTTTCGTGCAACAATGCAACAATGAAGTTTCTAGAAACGTAGTGTAGCAGGTACTTATGTTTTATATGTAATAGTACTTGAATGTTATTTTACTACTCATATGATATTATTAAAATATGTCTATTTTTTTAGTTGTAGTAAAAACGACACTCACCCCATGGGCTGAAATGATTATACAAGAAAATAAGGATGCTTGTAATAATTGGATGGTGTACCCTATCTCAAATAGTAGATTTGAAGTAAGAAGCTCTACTCACAAAAGTGTCATTGTTGATTTCCAACAAAGAACATGTACATGTAGGCGGTGGCAAATAGATGGCTTACCTTGTGGCCATGTCATAAAAGTGCTCACAATGAACCATTACGAAGATTGTTTGGAATTTGCTTTAAAAGCTTACTTTATAGAGACATTTAGGAAAACTTACGAGGAGTCTGTGAAGCCCTTACCAAGTCCATCTGAGTGGGAGATCCCCGATGATTTGATAATTGTGAAGCCACCCATAATGGAGAGACGTCAGCCGGGTAGGCCAAGAAACACTGACCGTATTCTGTCTTGTTGGGGTACGTCCGTAACATCTGTAACAGTGATGGATGCTTTCTGAATAGGCAAACCCATGTGGTTCCAATACTCAATTTCCACCAGAATGCGGTCCATAAGCTCTTCAAACCGAACAAAATCAATAATCTTCATGGCGTCAAATAATCGGAAGTTGTCGTACAAATTCAATGACAGCGTGTCCATCCATAACTCGCCAAGTACCTAATGATGTGGGTTGATGCATATTGGAAAGTAAACCTATTTTAACACACAACCATTGCAATTAATTACAATTAAATTCACTGATAATATATATTATTTCTTTACTTACACGGTAAACTTCCAGCCAAGATTTACATCCATCCAATGGGTCAAACGGATTTCCCGTTGCACTTCCTGCCCACTGGAACATCTCAAATACACCAAAAAATGACGATGGCATGATTGTCCATCGAGCATCGTTTGGTCTCCGCTTATTCAAAAGTCTTCCCCATATGTCAACATGCTGCATTTAAATTTAATTGAAACATAAGTTGCCTATAAACTTTTTATATTATAAATATAAAGGAATGTCTTCATACCGCTTCATCTAAAAATCACATGTCACTTGCATAAAAAAGCCTATCCCAAAACCTTGCTTCCATTTTTTCATTGTATAACCGATGTTTCAAAAAAAAAAAAAAACAGTCGGTTTGTTTCTCATGTATAGAGCAGGAGCATTACAACCCAGATTCACATACGGCTCCAAAAAAAGTGTTGAGGGATCGCTGACAAATACGGGGGGCGGTTGTTCGTTGTGTATTACCCCACCTATACGATATCGGGGGCATTTTGAACCTACATTATATGTGTAGTCAATAACTATCCATATAGTAATCAAATTATAGTAAATATGATTTTTACCATACTTACCGAAATGTAAGGAGAACTAAGATATTGAGAAGGTTTCAATTGCCTAACCGGACGACCTTCTTTAACAACAGGAGGCTTGGGTATATGATTTTCCGCATCCATAATGTCGCTAGCAACAACCACCTTCTTTTTCTTCTTCTTCTACAAAAAAATATTAATTTTTTTAATATACTTTGAAAAAAAAAAAAAAAAAAAAAAACCTCATACGCGATTTGTTTTCTAGAATCATACTCTGATGGATTACCAACATGATCATCCTCGTTAACTCGATTTGATTTTTGTGGACTATATACCACATCCTCATTCCCTTACATTTAAAGAAAAAATAATTAATGAAAAGCTTCGTTAAAAAATTAAATAATACATCATATATATTTAAATTGATAACAATACCTCAAAAGCGTCATTAAAAAAATGTTCCAAATCATCACCGTCTCGAGTTCCATCTTTAATTTTCAATCTTCGGATTTCTTCCTCCAAAGATTCAAGTCTTGCCATTATTTCTCGCGTGGTGTTTTTGTTAATTTCCACCATATGAGTTTGCTCGGTAGACTTGGAAGATTGACTGTTTTCACAGGTTGTTTTCGACGAAGATGCTCCCTACATAAATTTTTTCATATATCAATAATACTTGAAATTTTTTATTATACTAAATTATACTTTTACAAATTTACTTACATCATTTCTAAAGTTGTAGCGTACAGAAGAAGGGACTTCAGACAATTCACAATTCAGACTAGTAATATATGATTGATAATGTGAAGTAGAGGCCTCAGCATCTGAGGCAATCATCTTTTTTTTTTTCGGTTGATGCACCTCGTCCTGATCAACATTGAAAAGATCGCAGAATTTCGTCCAAGTTAACATCCTAATATGAAACCAACACAATATACGGGGATATAAATAAGTGTGTCGTATCGCACCATTTCCCCAGATTGCTGGGAATATCTCACATATCCATATCTTGTAATAAATATACATTAATTTATAAGTGTTAGCAATAACTAAAATTTAAAAAATAAAAAATAAAAACCGATAAATTATTAAATATATTTTTTTAATTACTTAAATATACCTTCAAATGAGTAACAAAACCCGATAGTGTGTAGACAATCGCTTTTGTTGGATGGTTGGACATATGATCCTCAAATTTCTTAAACATACTTGACAATATAGGGTATGTTTTACTCCATAGATAACTCCCCCGCGAGAACCTATATTATAAGAAAAAAGTATTAGTTAAACGTATAAAACTTAGTATTTTATTATAAATATTAAATTGACAAATATCTATTCCATTGATCCAGGTTTTTCCACCACCCACAAATATTCCTTGGTGACTTTATCATTAAGATCATTTCCCAAAAAAAACTTGATTGAGGATATATAACAAAATGGAACGGACACCGTCTTAAGCCGATATGTCATTGAACCGTTGATTCAAGATAAGGAGCTCTAAATCTTCTACAACTAAAGAAGTGTCCGTGCGATATGGGAAGCCTCTGGACCGAAATGTATTTTCACCATATCCGTGTTTATACATGGTTGAAAATTTGATCCTTGATTTAGGACACCAACCCATGTAAAGTGCGGTCACCAGACAAAACTCCTCCAGGCCAAATGATAGTGTACGTCTAGAGAACCTAAAATATAGGCGTGAAACGGCGTCCGTTTCAACAGCATGACGCAACATATGCAGTAACAGCCCATGAATAAGAAGTTCGTCTCCGAACTGAGCTGGTAGGTCCAACAAGTAACCGATTCTAGTTTTTGAAAACAGATCGCGCACGGGTCCGTTCAATCGACTCAAAACTTCATGCAATTTATGGCATGAAGCTTTGACAGATAAGTGACCAATCATCGATTTGTTTGGAAGCTACAAAATTAAATAAACATTAAGGTTAAATAAAGTTTTATAAAACTAAAAATCTGATAAACAATTAGAGAAAGCACACAATATAAGACTTAATCATTTTATATATTCTATTTACTTTGTATTTTCTATACTACTAGTATACAAATTTAGCATTATACGACTACAAAATTAACAAGATTCCGATCACATTGAATCGATTTAAAAAAAAAACAAATTTCCGTACGGTTCATACGAAACCGTAGGTGTACAAGTCGACAATGCACAATATGTGCATTTGGCACTTGTACACCGTAGGTTTCATATGAAACCTACGGTTTTATATATATATTTTTTTCGATTTTTTTCAAAAAAAAAATTAACCACATATATAAAACATACTCCTAATCACAAAGACGGTAAAATTTTGATGAAAAGTAGATAAACCTGATTGTTCTTCGGATGCTCCATTGAGAGAAAAAAGTAGCCAAATAAAAAAAAAAAAAAAAAAAAAAGGTAAAATGACTTAATCTGAAAAAAAAAAAAAAATCATTATATACTTTGGGCTAATGGACCACGAAAAAGTAAACAGACTTATGGAACAGTAGCCCATTTGCACAAAACAGTAGTTTTCTCAATAAAAAAGTAGTCAACGGCGTTGATCTTAGCCAACCCTAAGTTGACTACAATTTTGTGGGCTATTTTTGGCTAAATGGTATTTTTTGACTATTTTTTTTATAAATAATTAAGAAAAAATGCTAGATTAGTAATTTTTCATTATTTTTATAATTACGTGTATTTATTTTTATAATTACGTCTATAATAGTCGCAATAACCAAACCTTTTTGGGTTACTTTTTATGAATTAACAGGTACCAATTATCTTTTATAAAAATATTTGGTTATTTTTAACTTTTTTTTATGACTTATTCTTAAAGTCATCTTGGTTGTTCGAAAAACGTTATTTGATTGGTATGGTTGATAGTTCTATGAGGCTGCCACTTTTATGGTGGGTTAATGACTTGATAACTAAGAAACCATGACATATGCATATATTTAGTCATTTTTTTTATTTTTTATATTATTTTGTATAATATGATATGTTTAAAATCTACACTATAACTAGCGTTGTTCTTGTGATTTTGATTTTCAAAATATGTATCACAATAGTCCAAGTTATTATTATTTTTTGACAAAATTGCAAAAATGGTCCCTGTGTTTGGCAAAATTATGCGACTTTGGTCCAAAACGATAGTTTGATGCACCACTGGTCCAAAATTGGATTTTTCCATTGTTTTTGGTCCCTCCCATTCACTTCCGTCCATATACTCCGTTACATACAATAAAGACCGGGGTATTTTCGTCTTTCCACCTCCATATCATCGATTACCGCCATATTGAATGATATACACAGTTAATGACCCTTCACTCTACTCTACGCACTAACCCAACTTGTTGATCGAAAACCCTAATCGTTCATTGAAATCTTGCATTTGATCATCAACCGCAATCGTAAGTTTGAATTCACGAGGGAGGTCCAAATGTGGGAAATCAGGCCAAGAAATCAGTGTTTTGATGCAATCCGAATTTACGGTAACGTACTCTGTTTCTTACATATTTCTTTGAAACAAAAAAAAATCTTTTACAATCCATATAAAGTAATGTTTTTTTGGTTTGGTTCATGATTTTTACAGAAGGATATCCCACGATGTTCACTATTGAGCTCCATCATGGAGGGAGGTTCACAAAATTCCCAGGGATAAGCTACATTGAAGGAAAATTAGACCACATTGACTTGGTAGACATGGATGAGTTCTCTGTGCATGAGTTGGACGAGGTGATGCTGAAGCTTGGTTATGATGTACCACCAGTCATTTACTACCACTATCAATTGCCAAATGGAGATTTGGAGTTTGGTCTTAGAGCTCTAGGGAATGATATTGATGTACTTAGTCTTGCACAGTACATTGAACATCATAAGATCATCAAGGTATACACTGAACATAATGAAACTAAGTTACTTACATACTTTATGTCTCCAAGAGTTAAACCTAGGGTCATAATTGAGGAAATAGCAGATGATGTGCCCACTGCAACTGTTGGTGATCAAGATGTCCCAAATCTTGAATTGTGTTTAGTAAGATATGAGACACCCGAATACAATTCAAATAAGAGATTGAGGTTAGTTGATGGGAGTCAATCATGTAGTAAGAAATTGTGTTTCAACTTGGAACACACTGCAACTGTTGGTGATCAAGATGCACATGTTGAAATTGGTAATGAAGGTGCAAATATTAGTGAGCAAGGTGCAACTGTTAGTGGTCAAGATACACATGTTGAAATTGGTAATGAAGGAGCAAATGTTAGTGATCAAGGTGCAACTGTTGGTAATCAAGATACAGAAGTTCATGATCAAGGTGCAAATGTTGGTGACCAAGAAGTAAATACAAGAGAGTTTGATACCTTTGATGACCAACCATTTCAATTTGAAGACTTTGATCCTTTCTTTGATCAATATACTTTTAATGATGGTAATGATCAGAGTATGGGTGTTGGTGCAGAACTTGGCACAGGACTAGGGGAAGTTCAATTTGAAAGTGAGGGAGTTTGTGAAGGACTTGGTGAAGGAGGTAGTGAAGGGGGTAGTGAAGGGAGTGAGGAAGACAGTGATTTTCTTGAAGATGAAGAAAACTATGTAAGTGATATTGAGGTGGACATGAGTGATTTCTATATGAATGTTGATCTAGATGTTGAATATGTTGACAGAGGAAAAGGTGTTGAGATGAAAATGAAGTTGTTGATACAGAAGATGTTGAAGATGTTGAA